AGAGGCAGGAAATATAAATAAAAAAAATATTGTTGTTGTTGTAGTGTTGAGGCACCAGAACACTCTGCCAGAGAAGGCTACCTAGCTCACCAAACTACAAATCCCAGAACCCCATAGCACTGAGTCATGACTGTTAAAGCAGTGTTAGGCAATGGCAAACCTTTCTGAACAAACCAGGATAGGGTCATTAGAAGTCAAAAATGACTTGGAAGTCCACAACAACAACAACTACAACACTAAACTACATTATTTCTGCAGTGCAGATGGAGCTGGAGTGACTCTGGACAAGTTAACACTCTTACAGCCTCAAAGTTCTGCTGTGGATCCCTCAATACAACTACAATGCCCAGAATGCCATAGCTTGCAGCCCTGGCAGTTGAAGCGGGCTGAAACCGGATTATTTCTGCAGTGCGGATAAAACTGGGGCGACTCTGGACAAGTTAACACTCTCCCAGCGGTGCTTCAACCCAACTCCAGTGCCCAGAATGCCATACCCTGGAGCCCTGGCAGTTAAAGCGGTCTGAAACCGGGTTATTTCTGCCGTGCGGATGGAGCAGGGGAAAGGAGGCAAGAAAGATGCTCCAGGGAGCCAAGCCAGGGGCGGGCTGATCCAGAGTCAGAGCCAGGCGGGGCTCTCTTGCCCGCCCTGAAGTGGGGCTCCTCCTCTGGCCAGAGCCCCGCCGGGCACTCGCCTACCTGCCTGGCCCCGACACGCGTCGGAGGGTTCCCACGTTCCCTTCTTCCCGGGACCCGAAGAGCGCCTCACCTTTTGCAGCAGCAGCAGCCCGCCCTTGCAAGGTAAGCTATCCCAGGTCAGGAAGGAGGCGGCTTTGGGCTGGGCTTTGCAATCCTCTCCGTCCTCCAAGTCCTCCCACTTTCCCCCGTTGCTCAGCTTCCCAAGGAAGAAGGAGGGATGCAAAGAGTCCGAAATCTCCGGAGCCAGCAGCCACTCCCTGCCTCCGAAGCCTTGCAAACCTCAGCTGCCAGCCTGGCGTGTTGCAATAGGACCCTGGGAGACCTGGGTTCCAATCCTCCCCTCCGCTATAGCGACCCACTTTGGGCAAGTCACACTCTCTCAGCCCCAGAAGAAGACCTGGGCCAAACCCAGTCAGGTCCCCTGTAGGAGAAAGGAGGCATGTCGATTAAATATTTTAATTTCAACTTTATTTTAATTTCTGAACTAACCCTGCTAAGAAAACCCCAGGATAGAGAGCCCTAGTGGCATAGTGGTTTGAGTCTTGGACTATGGCTCTGAAGACTAGGGTTCCATTTCTGGCTCAGTCATGAAATCCACTAGATGATCTTGGGCAAGTCACACTCTCTCAGCCTCAGAGGAAGGTCAGGGCAAACTCAGTTAGGTCCAGTTTAGGAGAAAGGTGGCATATAAATTCAATTAAAAAAAATCCTCTGAACAAACTCCATGATAGAGAGCCAGCATGGTGTAGTGGTTGGAGTGTTGGACTATAACTCTGGAGACCAGGGTTCGATTCCTGACTCAGCCATGAAATCTACTGGGTGACCTTGGGCAAGTCCCACTCTCTCAGCCTCAGGTGAAGACAAGGGTAAGGTAAACCCCTCTCTGAACCAATCCTGCCAAGAAGACCCCAGGAGAGAAAACCATAGGGATGTCCTGGTTTTAGTGGAGACCAAGATTTAATTCCCAATTTGGCCATGAAATCCACTGTGTGACCTTGGGCAAGTCCCACTCTCTCAACCTCAGGCGGGGGTGACCAGATGTCCTCCTCCCTCCCTTCCCCAAGGAAGACAAGGCACCATAAAATGTAGGACGTTCAAGAAAAAAATAGGGAGTGAACAAATAAAAGCTGCAAACATTCAGAGAAAGAAATATAGTTAGTGCTTCTTAATCCTGCTCCAAATGGAGGACATTTTGGAATTCCTCCTGGATAGAAGATTGAAATGGAGGACCGGTGTTGGAAAAAAGAGGACTCAGGGGAAGGCAAAGGCAAACCTCCTCTGAACAACTCTTGCCAAGGAAACCCCATGATAGATTTGCCTTAGGGCTGCCATAAGTTGGAACTGACTTGAAGATACGCAGCAGCAATCATCACTGCAGCATGATCAAGTCTCCTTGCCCAGAAAAATGCCCCTGGGAGGGGAATAGAGGACTCCCACCCACCCAGATGTGGGCAACAAGGCTGCAGGTGGAGGGCCACTTTCTGAGAGTGCCCTTTGTTGTATCCAAAGGGAGGTTTTACAATGCATCCCAGCCCAGATTCCGTGCAAAAGGAGTCACACAGACAGTTCTGCATGCCTCTCCCATGGAAATCCAACTGCATCCAGTGACACTTCCTTCTAAGTAAAAATGCAAGAGTATGTGGAAAGAAAAGTCCAACCGTGTACCTATTTAACCGAGGAGTAAGTTGTCCTGCAGAGAACTAATGTGGGGTAGTGGTTTGACTCCAGATTTGTTCAGAGGATTTGCCAGTGCCTCCTCTGGGACTGAGAGTATGGGGGGGGGGGGTGTTGCAGACTGCCAGAAATAGTGCAAATTGACTCCACTTTTAGGGTTAGGGTTAGGGAATCATGGGAACTTCATTTTATTGTGGCACCGGAGCTCTCTGAGAGAGAAGGCTCAAAGTCCCAGAAAAAAAACAATTCCCATGATTCCCTAGCACTAACCCTAACCCTAAAAGTGGACTCAATTTGCACTATTTCTGGCAGTCTACAACCCCCCTATGTCACTTGCCCAAGATCAGTGGGTTTCTATGACCGAGTGAGGACTCTGGAGAACAGGGTTTAATTCCCAGCTTAGCCATTGAAACCCACTGGGCCATCTTGGGTAAGTCACACTCTCTCAGCCTCAGAGGGAGGCAAAGGCAAACCACCTCTGAACAAATCCTGCCAAGAAAAAGCTTTGATAAGCCTGAGGGTTGCAGTAAGTGAGAAGGCAAACTTCCTTTGAACAAGAAAACCCCATGATAGGCTCATCTTAGGTCACCATAAGTCGGAAAGGGCTTGAAGGCAAGCTCGATTTCACTTCATGAAACTTACTTCTGAGCAAAGATGCTATGACTGTTGCTGCCTGTAGCCTTTTAAAAAAATTATCCTCAATCAAAACTTGGGCGTAACTTGCAATTTTGCACTTTAAAATGGTCATTTGTTGTTGAAAATGCCACAGGTGTGTTTTGTGCCTTGTTTTAAGAGGTTACACCCAAAAGCAGGGGGGAAAGGTCCAGAGTTTCCTGACCTTAAGGGTGAGCATTAAATCCAGTTGGTATAAAACTTTCCAGGATCTCACCTGGACAAAGATGGGGACCATGTGGCCCTCCAGGTGGTGCTGAACTACAACTCCCATCACATCACTAATGGGCTTTCTCCCTAGTCCTGAGGTGGGCAAAATCTAGTCTTCTAGATGCTGTTAGACTGCAACTCCCTAACCATCGTAGTTAATGGTGGGGGATGATGGGACTTGCAAAACAAGTCTCCACAAGAATTCAGGTCCCCCAGTCCTACTGTTTTGTGTTTTTAGGATAAATTGGAACATAGTGAAAAGATAAAGGACTTTTATAGGGCTACCGCCTCTGTCTATCTGAGTTGTTTCTCTTCCAGCTGGCAGCAGCTCTCCAGGATTTCTGATAGGAATCTTTCCCAGCCCTCCCTGGAGACACCAGGGATTTGAACCCGAGACCTAATATGCTCTAAACAGGAGTTACAACTCTCCCTGCCTCTTGCCCCTGCTTTATAAGAGTGGCATACCTTTGCCATCATTGTGCACAACACAGAGTTTAAGCAAAGTCAGATTTGCTAAGCATAAGTGCAAAAAGCTGGTCCCAGCCACAATTCTTCCTCCAACACCATGATAAAAGGCAAGCCTTCTCCTCTCTTTCTCTCGCTCTCTTCAAATCTGGTTCAGGTGTCATGATTTCTGGGCTTGCAGAAATAGAAATCCAGGTGTAAACCTGAAAGTCCTTTAGCGATGCTTGTCTGCCAGCTTGGAGCAAGGGCATAAAATATTTAAAAGCTAATGATTTTAGTTTCTCAAAGAAGCACTGATCAGGCCCAGCTTGTTTTTGTTTTGTTTTAAGTCCAGGCGTTTAGTAAAAGCAGGGCTTCAGATTCTGTCTGTTCTTTAGCTATATATGGTGGACTCTTCGTATCCGCTGGAGTTTGGTTCCAAGACTCCCTGTGGATATTGAAATCTGTGGATGCTCAAGTCCCATTATATACATGGCATAGTAAAAGGGTATATAAAATGGCAAAATCAAGGTTTGCTTTTTGGAATTTATATATATATTTGAATGTTTTCAAACCATGGATGGTTGGATCTATGGATGAAGAATCCATGGATACAGATGGCCAATTGTGTGTGTGTGTGTGTTTAAGAGGACACCCAGGTAGCAATTGGACTATTGTGTGAGATGCATACAATCCTGAGGAACATTTTCAGGGCCAGCTCTGCCATTATGCAGAAGTTGGCTCAGGTAGCAGATTTGAGCTGCTATGAAAGGGCATTCAATCCTTTGATATGTTATCACTGTATTTCATAGCCAGTGGATGGGGGTGGGGGGTGTTAGAGAAATTTATTGCTTCAGGTGCCAAAATAACTTAGCTGGCCTTGAATACCATGGGTTAAATCCAACACTATCCCCTGTTAAAGTAAGTCCATTGAAATAAATGGGACTTTTTCAGTGATGTTTTACAAGCCCCATTCATTTCAGTGGATCTATTCTAGTAGGGACTAGCATTGGATTTAGCTGCATGCACCTTGATCTAAGGTTACAGGGGCACTTGTAACAAACCTGTTACCCTGGTATTGGGTTTCCAAAATGTCTTAGGCCAACTCAGGAAGATTGTTTTTATTGGTTCTAGAGTGCCATGACCTTGTTGTTGTTGTTGTTGTGTGCCTTCAAGTCATTTCTGACTTATGGCGACCCTATCATGGGGTTTTCTTGGCAAGATTTATTCAGAGGGTGTTTGTCATTGCCATCCTCTGAGACAGAGAGAATGTGACTTGCCCAAGGTCACCCAGTGGATTTACATGACTGAGCAGGATTCGATCCCTGGTCTCCAGAGTTGTAATCCGATGGTCAAACCACTATGCCACCCCAGCTCTCTGAGCCATTGTCCGTGTGTACTTAAATCTCCCATTGAAGTGTCTCCATCCTCATATTGCTTTGTCCTTGTTCCCATTTTTAAGAACAGTGTGATAATACAAATACTAAGAACGTGGAATCTTTTCTAACATGGACATAAAAATAAGTCCCCGCCCCTGCTATGGAATTATCTGGGTATCATCTTGCTGTCAAAGGCACAGGAACAGTGTTTGTAAATGGCAGCTTTACATCTCCTCAGCCCAAATAGTTTGTTTTTTAAAATAAATTTTTAATAAAACCAAATGTTGCTCAATGATCTTTGGAGCCCTGTATTTGAAATCCCGATGATGGAAATCATAAATGCTGCAGCTTTCAGGAGGGAAATTAGAGGAAATTTTGTGTTCTTAATTTTCCTACAGAGAGAAACACATCTGGCACTCAGAGCTCCCTTAATAGTTGTTCTGATCAGCCAAATGGTTCTTGCAATGCAAATGCCTCTAGAGAAATCTGAATCTTTCTAAACAGCAAGAATGGATTCAGAAAAAGGTACCATTCCCTCTCTGAATTTCCTCTCTAGGGCAGGTTGAAGCTCTCTCATGGACCTGTCCTCCAGAAGGGAATAACCAATGGGCAGTCCCCCACATCGGCTACCTGAGGCATTTGCTTCATAATGGTAGAGACACTCCTGTATTTGGATTACCAAATGACAAGGGTCTGAGTGATAACCATGTCTGCAGTAACTAGCTCTGAATTCCCATAGATCTCAATATTGATATAATCATTTAACTTGAAAGGGAGACGGGTGGCACAGATACATTCATTTTTTTAGTTTATTGTTTTATTGTAATGTATTGTTTGTTTGGTTTTAGACTGTATTATGTTTTAATCTCTTAAAGTTTAATCTTGTTTTAGGGGGTTGGAGGGGGGTTATGGGGATAAGGCTTGTTTTAACTTTGTATGTTTTAAAATGTTGTAACCCACCCCGATTGCAGAGCAGAGGGGCGGGCTAGAAATAAAAATTTATTATTATTATATTATTATTATTCTTAAGGCTCGCTTTCTTCTCCAGGCATTCTGTCCCAGTGCATGAATAATCCTGCTAGTTCCTCCGTGCCTGGATTGTAAAATAAATCTGGCATAAGGAAGTTTTCGAGGGGGAAAACCCAAGCCCCCTGATGGGATGCACATGAGTGTTTGCACATGGAGTGATGCCATGCTGGCTTTTCCAGTTCTGTACCCTTCGGATATCTTAGGCTACAGCTTCCACCCTCTCAGTCAACAAAGCCTGCAGGATAATGGGAACTGTAATAGTGTAGGCTTTGTTATACCCACCCTACAAACATTACAACTTCATTCTGTTGGTCATCATTCTGTTTCCAGAGACAATTTAAAGAGTTGTTAAAGCTTGAAATGGCTTTGAGCCCAAGATAACTTAGGGACTTCTCCTTCATCATCCCTAGAAGCAGCTCTCAATATTGTGTCATCTAGGAAGGAAGGCATTTTGTGGGGGGGGGGGAGTAAGAAAGGGCAAATGGAGACTTTCTTAGAAACTGCATCCTCATTATGGAATGAATGCCTTGCTGCACAGAACATGGCTGGCCTGTGACCTTGCTGTTTTCTTGCTGGGTGTTGAAGAACTTTTTATTCCAGCAGGCTTTTTGTGGCTTTTTGGATATGGCAAACCGCTGGATTTTTTTAAAGTTTTTGCTTGCAAGGGTTCACCCTGTCTCCTTGGCTGTTTTTTTTTTTTCATATTGCATTTATGGAACTGTAATTTGGAAATGATGTATTCCGCCTTCTCTGGTACTTTTGTACCAGAGGGCTGTAATATGAATGTGTAAGCAAGCACCATGAAATCATTTCCTAAGAAATGAATGAGGAGAAGTTGGCAGGAGTTCCATCTTTCAGGAATCAAATGAGGTGGCAGTACAGAAACTCCCTGCTCCTTTCTTTAAAGGTAAAACTAAAATTAATATGAACTTAATGTTTTTCCTCATCACCTTGCTTATGGTCTTTGGGACAGATTCATTTCTCTTCCCCACTTTTCCTGTGTGGCATATGTGTGGCTAGGTACACACATTTGCTAAAGGAGGATCAATTGGTTTTCTTTATCACAAGGCTTCCTCTTGTTCAAGGTGGTTGCATGAGAAAGAAACGCACAGGCCCCCTCTAACTTTAACAGTTGTAGGGAAGAACAAATGTCAGCAGGTGAAACATGCACAATAAGGTATACCTGGTGCCATACAACCAGTGGCACCTAGTGTAAAGGTGACTAGTGTAAATGAGCTCTCCGAGGTGCTGAACCTCATGCCCAAGGCTCCCCAAGCACCTTGGGAAAGCTCCTTTAAAGTTCCCACTAAATGTTACAGCGCTTTCCCTGCCCCACTGGCTAAGAACTATTATTGCTGTGTTAGGGCCTTTGCAGACTGCCAGAAATAGTGCACATTAAATT